CTAGGAGGGTAATGTAGGCATACCGCACTTGCAAATGAAGCCCGGGAAATTCAAATCCCGGGCTTCATTTGCAAGTGCGGTATGCCTACATTACCCTCCTAGTTCGAACTAGGAGGGTAATGTAGGCATACCGCACTTGCAAATGAAGCCCGGGAAATTCAAATCCCGGGCTTCATTTGCAAGTGCGGTATGCCTACATTACCCTCCTAGTTCGAACTAGGCGGGTAGTGTAGACATACCCTCAGCTTTTCTGCCAAGATCGGTAAGTACTGTACCATATTTATTGTCTCTACCTCAGCCTTTACAGATCTCTACTTGCTGGGTTCTGGAAAGTATGAATAGCTCAAGGTGTCTGTCAACACAAAGTCGAAGCCTGGGCAATACTTGATCTGTACATTGTGACTCTGCAGTTATATCATCATCCATTGTAAGTGTTTTGAGTAATTACTTTCATGAGATTGTACATCCATAGTATATAAGTATATTGACAATATTTTTCCATTTCCAAGAGAATTGCTAACAAACGCTTTTTCAATTTGAGCATAGGCTTTCTCTGTCACGGACAATGCTCTGCTTGGAAATGCAACAAGTTATCCCTCTTGTAGCATGGTAGCCCCTAGACCGGACTTGTATGGATCACATTGCAGCATCAGGGGTTCCTCTGAGATGTAATATTTTAAAGTGGGAGACTTCCCAAGCATCTCTTTTATTTTCTGGACTGCTTGCTTGTGTTGGTCCTCCCACTTCCATACGGTATCTCAATGTGTCAGGTCTGGCAGGAGTCATATGGTTGGCTACAAAACTTAGCTAATCTTTGGATTCCTTTAATATTGCTGAGTCCTGGCATTTCTGAAACTGCCCTCACTTTCACTGAGATTACTTTCAGGCCATAAGAGGTTAACAAATGTCCAGTGCATGCCATCTATGATACTCTTCACCTGAGTTTAATTTAATATTATTTTCTCGGAATCTCTGTAAAAAATGTAGTAATTTGTACTTGTTCTCGATCTTCATCCTCAATCAACACATCATCTGTTATTGTCCGGACTCCCTTCATGCCCTCCTATGCTTTGGTCAGTCTACTTTGGAATACCTGTGATGCAGGACTGATCCTTAACCATCAGTATCTCTCAAATAAAGTAGCGAGGGTTGTTAAGTAACTAAATTCTTAGTTCAACATGCCAAAGTTCATTTTTTTCATTGCATACTATAAAAAAATCTCCCTTTAGACAGATATATTAATATGTCCTCAATTACAGACAAAAGGAAATAGTTCTTTATCAAAGCTTTGTTTAAAGGCTTTAAATCCAGGCATATTTTTCAAAGGGCATTCTTACCACCACAAGACCACTTACCTAGTCTATGTTCTTCTTGACAGGCTGTGTAATTCCATAATTTTGTAGGCTTTGCAGTTGTCTTTCAGTGGCTCTAGGTATTGCAATGAGTACTTTTGTGGGCAATTTAACTGACTACACAGTTATCAATCTCTGTTTATAAATACCATCTAGTAGTGGCCCATCACCTTGAAATATGTCTCTGGTAGTCCCACTGTATCATCTCCTAGTACCAGGTAATACCATCCAAGGTATCATTATCCACTTTCATTGTGTTTTGAACTACATTTTTATCAGGTTCATTCTTTAAGCAGTTTTATTGTCCAGAAATGGTACTGCCTTATCATCTATTACTCCAAAATCCAGTCTATATTTCTTTTTGTTCCTTGCATTTTTTAATGTTTTACATTTCCCCATGGGCTCTAATATGATATGGTTGTACACTGTTAACAGCTGGTTAGTCTCTTCCAACCTTATGTCTGAGTTCATCAGACAGATCAGGATAATGTTACAACTCAAACCACAACATAATTGAAATCATATCACTTTCTTTTCAGATAACATGTCTGCAAGTGTTTCTGGTACTTAGTAGGGTCTTGTTGCCTTGTATTTACCATCTGTTTGGTTACCCACATAGCATCCCTATACTCACTGTTGCTCTCTTTGGTTACTTGTGTGTAACTTGGGTTTTTCTACACAAACACTTGGCTGCAGAATTTTTGTGTTTGTCACAGATGTGATATTTTCCCCGTAAGCTGGACAATTTTTATTTCTATCTTGTATATTTTCTACCACATAGCCAGTTTCTGCTGACTTGCTCTTCCAGGGTTCTAATTCTCTTTTTGGATAACTCTGCAGCCCTGCATGTCTCCAAATTTTCCTTGAAAGTTAAGGTAGCTTCCCCTCAGCAACCAATTTGATACTGTTGAGATTCTCATATCCCATATGTTATCTTGTCTCTTCTCAACGGATCTTTAACATTTCCAAAATTGCAACTGGCTACTAATACGTTTAAGCCAATACTGTATTCATTTATACCCTCCCCAGCTGCTTGATCCCAGGTAAAGAAATTATATCCTCCCACCATTTCATTCTTCCAAAACAGCCCATTATTGCTTCTGTGGTTCTCTGAGCTTGAGGAATTTCCACGCACAAAATCTCACTTATCTCTCCCCCCTTTTCTTTAGTCAGGTAACAAAATAGTTTTATTTTCACAGTATGTTGTTTATCTAACCCAAAAATATTTACCTAGAGGTTAAATTCCTCTTTCCAACTCTTCCATGCCAGAGCTGCATTCTTAGCTTGAAGCAGGGGTAGCAGAGCCTTCCCAGAAGTGAGGGAACTAAAGGCCCCTTCCCGTGAGACCTCAGTTCCCTCAAAAGCCCTGCTCTTGGACAAACTGGAGCACGGCTGGGGAGCCTACCCCCACAAGTGTGGGCTGAAAACAGAGCCCCTATCCATGTCCCCACCCCCAGGGCCACCCACCCAGGGCAGTTGGAGGAGACCAGATTACCCACAGTTGCTCATGTGGCTCTTACCCTAGCCTGGCTTCAGCAGTGGGGTGGGCCTCAAAGCCACAGCCCGGCCAAGTTAACTGCCACTCAGGCAGCTGTGGGGAGCCACAGTGGACACCTCATTTGCCTGTGGTGTGGAAGGCCCAAGAGTAGCCTCCCTCCCATGTCTCTGCCCCCAGGGCTCCTCGCCCAGGGCAGGTGGAGGGTTTGTGCTGCAGTTCTGACAGCTGCCCACGTGGCTCTTACCAGGGCCAGGCTGTAGCTCCAAGGCCATACCCCAACTCAGCTCCAGCCAAGAGGCAAGAACCACGTAGGCAGCTGTGAGGAACTGGTGCAGAGGCTTGGACACTCCACCAGCCCTGGACGAGGCAGGGAACCCTGGGGGCAGGAACATGGGCTGTGAGCTGCTCTTGGGTCTCTCGAACCATGAGTAGGTAGAGGGTCTGTGCAGCTCCCACAACTGCTCAGGCTCCCTGGCTGGGCTCAGCTGCTGGCCTGGGTCAGGGGTGGGAGGATAGTGCATCGTGAGGGAATAGGAGAAAGGGACGGAGTCTGCCCTGATGAAAAATGGACAAACCACGGTTGGGCTAGGGCTCCCCAGCCTCCCCTGTTCAGATACCACCGACTTTCAAGTTTAATGTCTTTGGATGCTTCAGCCCTTCCAATTCCTGTTATCAGCTTTGTCTTGTAAAACAGAACTGTGTGCTCACAGATGTGCTTTGCTGGCTGTAATGCAAATCCGAAAAGTCTCTCCTGAGGTCTAGAACTCTATTAGCTCTGCCACTATGTTTCATGCTTCGCTGTGTTTGGATCATCTACCATAAAAGATTTTCCTCTGACAAAGGGTTAATTAACAGACTCCAGCTTTATGGTGGCTTCATCTTCCATAGCTTCTTCAGCCTCATGGCTTTTCACACAGTAGCATAGGAAGAGTCACTTCCAAGCAGTTCCCCTCAGAAAAGGATACGCTGCCTGAAAGTGGGTGCCATCGCTATCATATTGGTGCAAATAACAGAGATTTGTGCTAAAGTTTGAAAATCTGTCATAGGACTTCTGAGGCATTGGAGAGTGCTCCTCCAGCAGTGATTCAGAAACTGAGGACAGTAGTAGGTAAAGTTTTGCTGCAAGTTACATCTTCCCACCCCTTCTCAAGTAGCCTATTCTGGCACTAGGAGGTGATGTTAACCAGCTGAAGTGCTGCTTTGGGGGCAGATGTCGCCACAGCCATGCGGGTCTGTATGTTTTCACTGTCAAGTGCCAGCAGTAATTGCTGCTTTATTCTGTTGAAGCTAATGCTGGAACTCATGTGCCCTTCCCAACAAATCCAGGAATATGTTAACAAAAAGGGTAGCAAAGACAAGTCTTGGTGAGACATTATAAGAAGGAAAGTGCATGGTATCAGAATTTTCAAAAACTCTAGACCTTCTCAGAGTGGGCAGAAGGGAATTCTACTCCCGCCAACTATATTAACATTAGTGATGTCTCCATGCACTTTGTGAAT